AGGGCTTGTTGGAAAAGCCACAAGATGTTATGCACGCTACCTTACAAAGCACTAGGGTAGCTACTTCAGTACAGCATTGTGGGATGGTACTGTGCCAGTTAGTATAGCTAATTCTTGCCTCTTGGCAAAACTGGCCAACTGCAGACTCGGGTCCACCACGATCCGCTGGCTGGGGAATTGACTCTGTGGTCAGACTCGGAGGGTGATGGTTGACGGAAGTCAATCGTCATGGTGATGTGTGACCAGTGGGGTCCCCCAAGGCTCTGTCCTTGGACCCGTATTGTTCAACATCTTCATTAATGAAGTGGACATTGGAGTCAGCAGTGGGTTGGCCAAATTCGCCGATGACACCAAACTCTGGGCTAAAGCATCCACATCTGAGGACAGGAGCGTGATCCAGGCTGACCTTGACAGGCTCAGGAAATGGGCAGACAAGAGCCTGATGATGTTCAACACCGAAAAATGCGAGGTTCTCCACCTTGGGAGGAAGAACCTGCAGCATCCTTATAGGCTCGGCAGTGCTACGTTGGCTAGCACTACAGATGAAAGGGACTTGGGGGTCATGACTGACCACAAGATGAACATGAGACTGCAATGTGATGCTGCGGTTAGTAAAGCAAGCAAAATGCTGGCTCGCATCTATAGATGCTTCTCAAGCAAATCCCGGGATGTCATTCTCCTGCTATACTCGGCCTTGGTGAGGTCGCAGCTGGAGTACTGCATCCAGTTTTGGGCCCCACAATTCAAAAATGATGTGGAGAAGCTTGAGAGAGTCCAGAGGAGAGCCACACACATGATCAGAGGTCAGGAAAACAGACCTTATGATGAAAGGCTGAGAGCCATGGGACTCTTCAGCCTGGAAAAGCGCAGGCTCAGAGGTGATCTGGTGGCCATCTATAAGTTTATCAGGGGTGACCACCAGTATCTGGGGGAACAATTGTTCACCAGAGCGCCCCAAGGGATGACAAGATCGAACGGTCACAAACTCCATCACGACTGATTCAGGCTGGACATAAGGAAGAACTTCTTTACTGTCTGAGCCCCTGAGGTCTGGAATAGATGGCCTCTGGAGGCAGTTCAAACACCCACTTTGAATGCCTTCAAGACACATTTGGATGCTTATCTTGCTGGGATCCTATGACTCCTGCTGACTTCCTGCTCCTGGGGCGGGGGCTGGACTCAATGATCCTCCAGGGTCCCTTCCAGCCTGAATGTCTATGAAATCTATGAAATCTCACCTCTGACCCTTCTCTCCCCCAGGGACTTGCATGATTGGGGGCAGCAGGGCAGGCCCTATGAGGAGAGGCTGAGGGACCTGAACCTGTTCAGCCTCCACAAGAGAAGGCTGAGGGGGATCTAGTGGCCTGTTGCAAATTAGTCAGGGGGGACCAGCAGGCATTGGGGGAGTCCCTTTTCCCCTGAGCACTACCAAGAGTGACTAGAAATAACGGTCACAAGCTGGCAGAGGGTAGATTCAGACTGGACATCAGGAGGCGCTACTTCACTGTCAGGGCGGCTGGGATCTGGAACCAACTTCCAAGAGAAGTGGTGCTGGCTCCTACCCTGGGGGTCTTTAAGTGCCCCTTGCCGACGTCATTTGACCCCAGTACTCTTTCCTGCCATGGCAGGGGGTCGGACTTGATGATCTGTCAAGGTCCCTTCCGACCCGACCAACTATGAAACTATGACTCTGAAATCTAAGCTGGAAAGTGAGAAAGGTGAGTGTCTGAGGCCAGTTATATGTGCTACCAGGAGGATGATTCCCAGAGATATGACTCTCACTGAGATGCAATCTCACCTCTTGTCCTTCTCTCCCCAGCGGCCCTGCAGTCTGAACTGGAGAGTGAAAAAGGTGAGTGCCAGGGACATGTGGGATGTGTTAAACAGTTTATGTGGCAGTAGGCGCGTGCACACAAGACACTACGTCACCATCACTGTAGCAATAAGCTAAAGTGACAGCTTGTTGCTATGGCAAGGTAGCATCAGTGGGCACAAACCACGATGCCAAAACTACATCACCATAGCGATGAACTGGGTTGCCATAGCTCGTCACCATGGTGATGTAGCATCTAAAAATAAGCATGCATCTCTGGGACTACACAGTCCAGCAGTACCTGATTTAGTACTAAATGACTGGGCAGCATGAAAAAAATAACAAGAAATAGGTTTCTGCTGAAGCATACAAGAGCTCAGACACAGAAGAAATGTGGTTTCCTCAGTCCCCTTGGCTCAGTTAAGCCAGCTCAGGTCTATGCAGGGACATTCAGGGGACCGAGCCAAAAGTGCCTGCTTGACTGTAGCAGGTCAGGTAACAGCCTGGTTTGTTCCCAACTAAGGGTCAGAAGCAGACACCATTTCCATTGCAGACACCAGCAGTGTGTTAAAGGGCTACTCCTGCTGACACAGACTAACTCTGATGGGAACAGACCAGTGTCTTTACCAGCACTGTGACTAGTACAGCAGGGGTCCCTGAGCCCACAGCCCTGAGCAGTCCTTGCTCTGCCTGGTCCATGGCATTGCAGGAAACTGGGAGACCTGACTAGTATGTAGCAAGATCCCTCCTCCCATGGGACCCCCTGGGCTCTAGCCCTTTTATAGCCTGCAGTGGGGTGAAGGGAATGACTTTACCCTGGAAAATGAAAACAACCTTAACTCTGCCTTGGCTGGACCCCAGGTACTAGTCCCACAGCTATGATCAATGTAGGAATGGGTCTGCAGCTCTGAATCGATGTCTCATGCTTATTAAAACTGCTTTAAGGATTCCCCCTCCTTAGGGAGTCACAGCAGGGCAGAGATTAGGATGCTCAGGGGCTGTATCTGCATTTCCAGCCTGCAACACTCCTTTCCAGTTTCCCCTGAGCTTTCCTGGGTGCATAACTCTGAGACAGGGGCTGATTTACACCACCCTTGCAATGTGGTTCCCCCATAAGTTAGTGACAGCTCCTTTCACCCCATCTGGAAGGGCAGAGGGTTTGGGGAACCAGGTATCCTGTTGCCAAGGAGAAGAGTGAGGGACAGACCCTGTGTATAGAGGTAGCAGTGAAAGTCACTGCTTGGCGCTCTTCATCACTGGGTTCCAGTCTCCATCCTTGTAATACATTTCTTCGAGTGTTTGTTTCAGAGAGGCACCGTGCAGATAAAGGTAATGTTTCTTCATGAATTTCTGTATGGAGAGAAGGGGGAAGTCTCATGTTTTGCAGCTGATGTCCCACCAGGCCTTCAGGGCTCTCCTTGGAGCAGAATCTGTACGCGATGTGTGCTGTCTGCTGAGGAACTCCCCAAGAAACCTCATCCTCCAGCAGCCCCAGCCCTCTGCTCTGTGTCACTCCTCTGCAGGGCTGCATGGGAGCTCCCAGGGGCAGCGCGTGTCTCCGCGTGCCAGGGGGTGAGGAGGCAGCAGGCATGTGGGGGACCAGAGAGGAGAGGCCGGATTAGCTGTGGCAGGAGAGGACTGATGAGAAACTGGGCTACTAGGATTTAGAGGAGGCTGGATCACGAGGTCACGGAGGAGCAGTATTTAGGAGTGGGATTGAGAGGGCTGGGGTGGAGGGTTCCAGAGCAAAAGGAGAGAGGAGTCTGAGACACCCGGAGACTGCGGGGCTGAGTGTGCTGTGTGAGAGAGGAGTGCTGAGAGGGGAAAGGAGGAATTTTCTTTGGCCTCCATCCATCTGAGGTGAGCAGGACACAGCCTAGAGCACAGGCTAGTGAGACAGGCGGTGGCGGGGAGAGGCAGGGGGTAGGATGCAGCTGAGGAGCAGGAGGTGGATTTGGGAGCTGTCAGCATGTAGTGCCAGATGAAGATGATGTGAAGTGATGATTGATGTGAAGGGAGAAGGGCAAAGGAGGACAGGGCTCTGGAGAATGCCCCCCAGAAGAGAGGAAAAGGAGGCAGCTGCCCTGGAAGAGGTGGTGGAAGGGCAGACAGAGGTGGGGGAAGTGCTTGGAGAGCCCAGTGAGGAGAGGTCATCTTGCTGGAGAGGAGGCTAGAAGGGGGTGGGGTACCCTGGAACCAGGAAGCCGTGCCCTGTGCCCGGGTGTCCGTGCAGAGCCTGGGTGAAGAGGATGTCCCCAAGGGAGCTGGGACAGCAGAGCCTCTTCCTGCCCACACAGCACATGGCCCCTGGGCTGGACTCAGCTGAATGCCTGGAGCACAGATCACTACCAGTGTCTGTCCATGTCCTCAGGCAGGAGAGGTTACCCCAACTCAGCCAGGGCCAGGGAATTTGTGGGACTCCAGGTTAATTCTCTTTCACTTTGCAGGTGAATATGAAGCAATGAAGGTAAGTGCCTGTTACTGTCTCACTGACATCCTGACTTCATTGGCAACACCCTGAAAACCAGCCACACATCCCTCCCCTGTGAGCAGGGGCAGGCAGCAGCTCATGAGGCATTGGTGCAGCACAAAACCCATGGGTTTCCATGTCGGATCCCTGCCAGGTGCTAGCACCATGACTCCATGTGGCATGAGAAGCAAGGTACTGCTCAGCATCAGTGTCTGTGGCAGGATCTGGCTCTCAGTATGCAGCTGTTTATTCTAGCAGCACCAGGAGATCCCCTCTGAGACCAGGCCCTGCTGTACTTAGAGCTGCCGGGACAACTCCTGCCCTGTCTGGTAGGCTTCTAATCTAAAGAGACAGGACAGACAAGGACCAGCCCATGATCCTCTCTCTCCAGCCTGAAGCCCTGGGAACTCCAGTGACTTGCCCAGGGTCACACAGTGAGTTAGTGGCAGAGAAGGGAAGGGAACCCCAATCTCTTGGGTGGTGGCCCATCACCTGCGGTGCAAGCCCCTCCATCTCCTGTGTCCAGCGTACAAGGGACCCTGGGTGGGATATGTGGGTGGGGGTGTCAATCTCAGCTAGAGAGGTGGAGAGCACAGCCCTCATCTCCATCATTCTTGTCACATCCTCTGGGTCTTAGGTTTCTGGTGTCCTCCAGCTCATGGGGCCTTGCCCAGATGCTCTGTACTGGCACTGCCCATATGAGTGTGAATTAAATGGGCCAGGAGTGGAGGATAGACAGTTGGTGCAAGAGAAACTGCTTGAGGCCTCCGCTGGGGAGGAAGGAGGAGGCAGAGGTTGTTTTTGGCCAGGATAAGGGCCTTTTCTCCAGCCCAGGAGATGGACACAAAGGGAGCGTGATAGGGAAATGGGGTGTGTGAGAGAGCAACAGTGACTGGGGAGGAGGGCACAGGGCAGAGTATGGGAGTTGGGGGCAGGAAATCTGGCCTGGATCTGGACCCCAGCATGTAGTCTCAACACCCCCATCCCAGTACCGCAACAGTGACCAGGCAGGAGTCAGCCTGGACAATGTGTGTGTGGTGTTGGGGGAAGGGGATGGCAGTGGGCTGTCTGGCTGAGGGGCTGCTCAGAGCAAGCTGGCGCCAGACCACGTGCTGCACTCCCCCCTGCTCTCTGCTCCGCCCAGTCACTCTGTGTCTGGGAAAGAGATGAAAGGATGTCCTCCCATTGTGTGTGTCAGGCTGCATCTGCTCCAGGCCACAGTTAGGTGTGGGCAGGGACAAGGGAGCATATTGAAATGCCACTTTCTCCCCAGCCTGGATCAAGCCAAAGCCAGTGCCCCCCATGGCTCACGTATGCTGCAGGGGGACTCTGCATTCTCCTAGGAGCATCCCCAAGTGAGACCAGGGCTACCATAAGGGGTCCCTTGGCACTGTCCTGTCCACAGGGTCCTGAGCACAGAAGATGAGGCAGCCAGAGGCCATTCGAGCTCCTTTCCAGACACAGCCCCCAGGATGTGCTGTCCCTGGGCTGCTTCTCCCAGCCATGCAGCCAGTCCCTGCCTGCTGCTTCCTCCTGGTACCTCTGGGCTCTCTCTCCCTGACACTCACGCCCTTCCCCAGCTGCAGTCTAGTCTGTGCCCACCTGCTCCTTTTGCCTTTGGTATGGCAGATCTTGCTCAGGCCTTTTGCCCAGTCTGGGTTTTGGGTGGTGGCTTCTGTCACTTCAGCTCCCTCCCTCCAGGAAAGGGTCTTCATGGCTCCGTCCTTGAGGCAGCAGGAAGGGCAGCAGCAGCCTCAGCCAGGCCTGGGGCTGCCCAGAGAGCACAGACACTGCCAAAGTTCAGCCCCCTCCAGGCAGCAACAGACACCCACCCACATGACAGGTCCCTCTGCTCCCTCCAGCCGTGCTCTGCCCACAGTGGTGCCACCCAGCACCAGCCCGTTCCTGGCACACAGAGCTGAACCCAGGCAGCTGCTTTTACCCTGAGCTGGGAGCGCCACACCTCGGGGGGGGGGGCAATCCTGCAGATCTTCTAGGGGCTTTCATGACCCAGGTTGGCTCTGTGGTGTGGCCTGGAGGCTCTCAAAGACGCGCTGCAGGGGGTGGCCTGAGCCTTGCTCCCAGTGCAGCTGAGCTCAGAGTGAGTGGGCAGCCATGGAGGACATGCCCATCTCCCTGCTATCAGTGGACCCAAATTCATTAGTAATGGGCCCTGTTCTCCTGTGCTTAGTTTTCCTAGTCAGTGCTCCCTACTGTCCTTCCCCTTTCCCACCCCCCACCCAGTGAGCCCAACCTAAACTCACATCCCTCCCCTGGGCTCTGATCTCCATGGGGAGGAGCTGGTTGTGGGCTCTTTCTGTTTGTATTTCTGTGCCCATACCTCTGGGGACATGGAGGCTGCCAGCTGGTGCAGAGTCCCAGCCTGAGGTGGGGAGGGGCAGGGCACCAAACCAGGCCCAAGACCACAGAGACCCCCATGCCCTGCCCTCTCTTCTCATCCCGACCACCTGCTTCTCCCAGGGCAGGCTGCTCTCTGGGCCCCTCTGCTCCCCTGCCATCTCCCAGCCCTTCCAGCCCATCTCATCCAGCCTCACTGCCTGCCCCTCCTCACTCCATTCTTCCCAATAGCCCCTGCGACACCATCTCATGGGTTTGGTGCCTGCCCCTCTTCCACCCCTGCTCTGCAACTGTGCCACCAGGACAAAGCACCCCCGCCTGGGGTGGGGAGGGGCAGGGCATGGACCATGGCTCCTGCCTCTCATGTTTCTGCCGCACACCCCTCTTGCCCCCACTCTCTTGCCCCTAGCCCCTGTCTCTTGCCCCTGAAGAGGCCAGGTGGGAACATCCCGCTCTGTCCCTGAGACTATTTCCTGTTCTCCCCATTTCCCTTCTGGGCGATGGTGATTTCAGGCAGACACTGACCTGCCATGCCTTGAGGATGTGGCAAATTCCCCATGATCTCGGGGACCCGCCTGCCCTGGCCCTGACCCATGACTCTCTCCCCAGTGGACGTGACTCTGGACCCAGACCCGGCTCATCCCAAACTCGTCCTGTCTGAGGATCGGAAACATGTGAGACACGAGGATACCCGACAGGATCTGCCCAACAGCCCTGAGAGATTTGATTGCTGTGCTTGTGTCCTGGGCTCTGAGGGGTTCACAGGCAGGAGGCACTACTGGGAGGTGGAGGTGGGAGACAAGACGTGCTGGACTCTGGGAGTGTGCAGGGAGTCTGTGCGCAGGAAGGGGGGCATCACAGTGTCACCGGAGGAAGGATACTGGGCTGTGCAGCTGCGGGATGGGGAATACCAAGCCAACACCTCCCCCTTGATGCCTCTCCCTGTGTGCGTGCCGCCCAGGCGCGTGGGGGTTTTCCTGGACTACGAGTTGGGCGAGGTCTCATTTTACAACGTGACCGACAGGTCCCATCTCTTCACTTTCACTGACTCCTTCTCTGGGACCCTGCGCCCGTATTTCTAGCCTGGTGTTAATTCTGGGGGCGTCAACATGGATCCCCTGATCCTGTGCCCGGTCCCAGCCCAGCCCTGAGGGAATCCCTGTCACTGCCATGCCATGATACATGTGGAACAGACTGTCCCCTTCCAGCCCTATCCATGCCCCCCGCAAGTGTGAGCCCCTCTGGTGCCTCTGGTGTGGGGTTGGGGAGAAGCAGGGCAGAGCTGGGGTCTCCCAGCGATGGCTGTCCTGCACCCCAGGGTTCATCTCCCAATCCCCATACTCACAGTACCACCCACTTGGAAGGGATCATCTCCAAATTCTTATCCTTCACTTAAAAATCACTGCAGTCCCTCTGGGCTTATCACTTTGTTACTTTGTTCCCCACTTTCAGCATTGCCCTGTGCAGCTCGAGATGCTGGCACTTATCAGCCCAGCTTGGAGGCAAAAAGAAGCTGTGGCCCCGGGGGCTGCGCCCACATGCAGCCCATCGTGGACCGGGGGCTGGGAGGGAAGGGTGAGGCTGGGCAGGCGGGGGGGGGCACCTGCCCCATCACCTGTGGGCCCTGGAGAAGCTTACAGCCTATTGGGGGAAGCTGCTGGCTGCTCCTCAGCTGCAATAGCAAGAGCTGTGCAGGGAGGGAGCTTTGCAGGGAAAAGGGGAGGCAGCTGTCAGGAGCAGGACACAACCCCACATTGCCAGAGGAGACTACAACCTAAACACAGCGCCTTTGATCGCTCGGCCATCCTGACAGGAAGCACAGCCTGCTGCCCTTCCTGCCAGCACACTCCTACCCGAATTCGCCTGTCAGACCCAAGCCCTGGGTTCCCTTTGTCTCCCAGGGTGAGGGTGGGCCCCAGCAGCAATGAGGTCTCCTGAGGAAGCCAGGAGGCCCACCACCGATTGGGGCTGCCTGGAGGGGAATTCCCTCTCCCAGGGGGAGCCCCGCTGCCTCGGGGTTAGACCAGACAGTGCCCTGGGGCATCTACTTGGCTCCAAAACATTGGGGGGGGGGTTTGGCGGAGGGAGAAGGATCTGAGGGGAGCGGCAGCCCTTTACTGTCTCTGTGGTGCAATGGGTTAGTGCATTTGGCTGTTAACCAGGTGGGTGGTGGTTTGAGCCCACCCAGGGGCGTGGCCTGGCATACCCTTTGGTGGTGATACGGGCAGCATGAGCTTTGTTGGTCCCTGCTGAGGCTGGCTTGTGGTGTTCTTGGGAGTCAAGCTCTCCTTTTATCTCCCTGAAGTCTACCTTCCCACGATTCTGACACTTAGTGTCGGGGTGCCCAAGCAAGCAGCGCTCAGCGATGATCCCGGCCTGAATAGCCGCCTCTGAAAACGGCCTGCTCTTGTGCCCGAAGGCTATTTTCCAGAGCCCACGCTCCGCAATGGTCTCTTCGATAGCTCTTGGTGGCCATACATTCAAGATTCATTGGCTGCTGTGCCGTACAGTGTCCCTTCTCCTTCTTTGGGAAAGCTGGGCCCTTTCTCCTTTCATTTCTTTTTAAAACAATATGGTACATTTAACCAATAAAAAGTCAAGGAATGTAAAACTTCCACTGCATCTTCCTTGTGCAGGTGTGTAGCTGGGTACTGTGGTGCACCTTCTGTTTTAAGGGGTGAAGTTATCTGAGACGCACACTCCAGGTCAGTGCCTGGGGACTCTAGGTGATGATGGCCCTGACCTCTGCCTCCACCTCAGCTAAGTCCAGATGAACAGCAACTAGAATGGAATTGGGGCCAAGGGACATGGGGATGCAAACTACCTGCTTCTGCATCTCTGTCGTGGTAGGGGACTGAAGTGTGGACTGTGCAAAAGTCTCCTTTGCCCCAGAAGAGCAATACTCTTTGCCATGGACATTCTTCTACCATGCAGCTCCACAATCCCAGGAACGGGCCATAAGATTGGACCTCTGCCCAGTTCCCCCCATCTCAGGCAGTAGGATTTGTTTCCACGTATCAAAGGAACTTCCCACCTGGGAGTAGCTGCTTCAATGCCACATCAAAGGTGTTCTGCTGTTCTCACATTTACCCAAGTCCATCACTGTGACCCCCTTTTCCAGTCCCAGGAATATCTAGATTAGCCCCACGGTATCTGTTTACACTAATGTACATCTCTTAGACAGGCAGCACAATGTGATTGAGGGCTCCATGCAATGGAAAGTGCAGTGTCCCTTCAGGGCTGCTTCTCACAGCTAATCTTCCACCTTGTTCCCAGTTTGGCACTTTCCAGCTCAAGCTCCTTTCCAGTGGGTCTTGCTCTACCTCTGCTGGGGTGAAGCCTTCTAGCATGAGGTCTTATTCTTCCCATGCTAATACTTGTAGACCAGGAGCAAGTCACTCTGTCCAGCTCTTCAATAAGATATGCTGAACACCTCTCAGGTAAGCGTTTCATACCCAGGTCCTGATTTTTGTCTTGCTGACCCCTTCTCCCCCCATCATACTCTCATTTAAAGATTCAAGACCTGGCCACAGGGTCCCTGATGAGGTCAGATGCTGTCCATGGACATAGTGCTGGCTTATGTCACCAGTCCTACTCCTTGCTCATAAACCCCAGGGCTGTCTTCCCTCACCACTGAGACATGACTGAAGCTGTTTCTTCCCCTGTAATACAACATGGCTCTTAGCCACTGGCCTGGTAGCTCCACCACAAAGTTGATGCAAATGTAGAACTGAAGTTGGTGGAAAACAGGGATGGTTGGCTCCTCCTCAACCAGAATGGCCACACCTTGGCCTTAAACCTGAGTGGGGAGGCCTGGATGGCAGCATGAAGCCATGTATTGGGGGTGCCAGGGCAGCAGCAGGGGCTCCTTGCCATCTTTCCAAGGGAGGATGCTGTCCCAGCCCCCATTTTGGGGGCAGGGCAGAGGGCTCCACCCCTGCTGCCTGGTCTGTTCCGGCTGGATTTCCATTCCTGTCCCTTGCCTTTGCTTCTAGCATACTTCTGTACAAAACAATATGGCCCACATCACAAGTCTTTGCAGGCAGGTCAGTGGCGCTCATGTAACTCCAGTTGGCCACTTGATCCACTCTGCCCTGTGCACCCAGCCCTCAGAAGGATCTACCCTGGCTCCTTACAGGCTGCAGCAGTCCTCTTCCACCTAGGAAGATGTGTGATTCCACGCATATCCCCAGCAGGTTAGGCACAGAAAACACAGCACTAGTAACTGGGGGAGATCAGTATTGCCAACCCCACTGTGCCAAAAATCACAAGACAAACTATTTAAAAAAAAATCAAGAGACTGGCACATAAATCGTGACATGCTATTTTTGAAGTGTCTGTGCTCCAGGGGTGGGTATTTGTGAATGTGTTAGGGCTGTGAGTGTGTGTGTCGGTTTGGAGCCTGGGGAGGGAGGGTCCCCACACCCCCTGGCAGGATGTGGGGTAGTGGGTCAGGAGTGAGGGCAGCAGCAGGTCTGGGCAGGCTATGGCTTGGGAGTGAGGAGCAGACAGAGACACAGACACACAAACAGCACCCAGCTGGTAAGTGGAGGGGAAGGGACAGGAAGGAGTGGGGCAGGAGCAGGGGTGAATGGGGCCCTAGGGCTGGGGAAGGCTGTGCAGAGGTGCAGAGGAGGGGCACAGCTCCCCACAGCAATGCACACCCCCAGGAGAGCCATGGGGGCCCATGCCCCCATGGGGCAGAGGTGGGCTGGGGCTCTGCACTCCGCTGCCTTTGCCACAAGAGCTCAGCTGTGTGATGTTATTGTCACCCACAGGGCAGGCAGGGGACACGGGGCATGCTGCTCCACACAGCACATCCTGTGGCAGGAAACACTGGAGTTGCACAGCTGAGCTCCTGGGGCAAAGGTGGCAGAGCCCCAGCCTGCAGTGGGCAACCCACATCTGCCCCATGGAGAGCACATGCCCCCATGCCTCTCCCAGGGGTGTGCACTGGTGTGGGGAGCCATGCCCCTCATCTGCTCCTCTGGACAACTGGCCCCAGCCCTCAGGCCCCATTCACCCCTGCTCCTGCCCCCACTCCCTCACTGTGGGGGCCTCGATCTTCCTGCCCATCCCTCTCCACTTACCAGCTGGGAAAATTGGAGATCTGAGGGTTCAGTGGAAGATCGAGAGTCAGGGTTATTTTGTCTTTGAAATCCCAAGTCTCATGATGGTTTCATGACAGTTGGCATTACTGAGAGACGGTGGGGCCCTCCTGCCTTTTAACCCAACAGCCTAGTGGTTGGGGCTCTTGCTGAGTGCATGGAAGACCCAAGTGCTGAGCCACCTTCTCTCAAACTGAATCTCTCGCTTCCCAGCAAAGTGTTCTCACCACCAGGCCACAGGCGTAGGTGTCCCCAGCTCTCTAGACAAAGCTGGAGTCCTGGCAGCCCAGAGTTGGAGGAGAAACAAAGCCAGGGAGTCAGAGGGAGCTGAGCCTGTGGCTTGCTGAGCAGGGCCAGACCTTGCCCTGGAAGGGAAGGATCCCTGGGATTGCCCCACTTCTGCCGGCTGCCAGTCCACTTCATTCAGTGACAATGAACTGCAAAGAGCAGGGCCCACCTCCCTAAGACAAAGAGCCAGGCTCCTTCAGTTCACTCCCCTGATGGCCCCACACACCTTCCCTTTGTAGGGCCTTGGGGCTGGGTGGATGGACAGTGGGGTGGAGATGCTGTGAACACTGCTTGGAGTTTGCTGGTGGTGCATTTGAAAGAGGCCTGGCAGGTGAGAACTCTTTCTTTTCAGCCTTGAATGACTTGGCGGGTGAGGGTGGGGACCAGTCCACTGCACTGCAGGCAGCCCCCTGAAAGAGTCTACAAAAGCCTCCCAATGGGAGGAGCACAGCTATGCAATTTATGGTGATGGGGATTGCCATTGAGCTTTCCTTCTAGTTTGCTCCTTCTGGCTTTTGGCTTCAGGCAAGGGAGGCTGGGGGCATCTGAACTCCAGGGCCTCCAGGCAGGGGGGCTTCCACACATGATGCATGTAATGGACTTGGCCTGGGGGGACCTGAAGGCCCAACATGAAGAGTGTGGGAGGGAGGAGACTTGCTGGGGACAGTCACACAGACTGCAACCATTGAGCTCTGCTTAGCCAATAGAACTCAGAACTGAGTTGGCTGAACATAAAATGGCAAAAAACAAAATGAAGCAAAACAAAAAAGACCACTGAAATCAGCAGGGCAGCACCCGTCTCTCTTGGGCATGGCCTGTACCTACCTGTTGCAATGCTGGGTGGGACTGTGTGTTCAGGAATTATACCAGGACAAGCCCTGGCATGGCTCTGGCTGCACACAGCCCTGCTTGTAGCAGCACCAAGGGAGGCTGCTTTATACCAGGAAGGATGTTCCCAGCTGCTTCATCTCCTACCAGGACCCCCTACCTATACCACTGCCTGCTGCAGCCCTCCCCAAGGCAGGGGTGTCTCAAGCTAGAAAGAGCCCCACAGGGCAGTCCCTGTAGGTGGTGGGAGAAAATACTATTTGGGGGGCCTGAATAAAACTTAAACTTAAAAGATACATCTACTGTACTGCTACACAGACACCACCCAGCAGGTAAGAGTGTGGGGGGAAGGGGCATATCAAGCCCTACACTGTAAAGGAGAAAATGGGCAGGGGCTGGGGTGAACGGGGCCACAGGGTGGGGTCATGGGACAGTCAGAGCCCCGGTGGCTCACCAGAAGGCTTGAGGGGGGCTCCCACCACTGCACACCCTGGGGGAAGCAGGGGGGGCACATGCCCCTTGGACTTGTGTGAGGGTTGCCACTGTGGGCTGGGGCTCTGCACCCCACTGGCTGCACCACTTTCCCTGCCTACCTGATGGAGGGACCAGGGTGGTGAGGCCGGACCGCTGCTGACCTGAGGCTTTGCTAGCAGCTGCTCCACAGGGGTGGGAGTAAGACCCTGTGCTTCCACCTGGTCTGAACTGGTTGCAGAGGGAACCTCCCCTCCCCCTTGCCTGCTTAGCCAATCAGCAGCAGGGAGAAAAAAATGGCACCAAGTTTAAATCTGCAGCTTTTGCTTCCCTGCAGAGGATTTAGCCTCAAGTGTGGCCACTCTACCAATCAGCAGGGGTGGGAATGAAAGGCACTGGGGGGGCACAGATCAAGGGCCAGTGGCAATGGGGAGGCAGGAGCTGGGCAAGGTGGGCTGGGAATGGTGCTGTGGTGCCCTGAACTCTGCTTTTCCCACAGGAGCCTGGCATGACCACATCCCCTGGTGCAACCCTACTGTCAGCCCCTGCCCCAGTGCATCCCTTGGTGCAGCAGCAGCCCACCCTCACCCCAGCACAGGTCGGGACATGTACCCTCCTTGCCTCCTCTAGTGGTGCCATCCCTGTGCCCACCAGACAAGCTACCCACAGCTCCATCCATCCAGCTCCCAGCCCTAGGGCCTGCCCCTCTGCATTCTCTCCCTCACAGTGAGGGCCTCAATCTTCCTGCCCTTTCCCCCACCAAAGACTAACCACCTAGACTCTGCTCTCCCACTATCCAGCTGCATTCCCAGCCCCTGCATGGCAGCTGCTTAGTGCACATGGCATTTATCAGTGATATGCTCAGGTGCATCAGCCACAAAAAGCCAATAGCTGTTTAATGTTAATTTTCCTTTTATCAGTGCCGATCTCATGTGCAATCAATATAGGGGTGCATCTCTAGAGGGGGTTCCAATTCTGTGTTTGCCCAAAGCCCCAATAACTCTTAATGTGCCTCTACTCCTAGGGTCACAGGGCTCAGGCAGAAGCTGTTCAGGGTGCTGTTGGGAGGGGCCCAAAACCCCTCAGAGGGACCCAGGTGTCTGGGTGGCCCCCCTCACCTCTGCCACTTCCCCACACCCGGGCCTTTCACTGCCATGTCAGGGCAGGACACGCAGCTCTGTTTGGCTTCCTTCTTTTCACTTCCCTCAGAGGCACTGGGTGTTGGCTGCAGCCCAGGCTGGGGATGGGGACTGGGCTGTGCCAGCACTCCTGCTGGGACTGAAACCTGGATGCTCCTGGCTAGAGGGTCTTGACCCTCTGCTCAGTGTAAGACTAATGCTGCATTTGGGGTGAGGAAGGATTTTTACCCCCTGGTCAGATCAGTATGGGCTGTGGGGAGGGGTTGTATGTAACCCTCCTCCTGGGATCTCTCCAGCTATTGTAACAACTCTGGTAGTAGCAGGACACTGGCCACCGTGGTCCCCCTGCCTTGCCTCTGGAAGATTTGGGTGCTGGGCCTTGTGAATATGAGATAGGGTTGCCCACGTAGTGACAGCACTAGGTTAGACCAGTGGTTCTCAACCATTTTTGTACCAGGACCCATTTTTAAAAAATTGATGGTCAATCTTGACCCAGTGCCACTCCCTCCTAACCCACTGCCCACTGGCCCCAGGCCCCAGCAAGGGGTGGGGCAAGGGGTGAGTGTGTGTTGGGGGGGGGCCACAGGAAGACCCAAGCAGCCCTTTGCAGACTGGACTCTGCCAGCCTGCAAGGGAAAAGCCACAGTTTCCCACGTTTGCTTCTAAAGAACAATCCATTTTTAAAGTTTGTTCACAGCCCTTTCGTATATTCTTGCAACCCACTTTTGGGTCAAGACCCATCAGTTGAGAAATGGTGGGTTAGACAATAGATTTATATGGGATGGTTTGTACAGGAATGACCCTACCTCAGGCAGGGGCTGCACTAGATGACCTTCGGGGGTCCCTTCCAGCCCCATCTTTCCATGAGTCCTTCATTCTTGCCTTCATTTGGCCCATCCTGGAGGCTTGGGGGAGAAAGCAGGACTCATTACACTGGAGAGGGGCAAACAGGAGATTTACTTGTATTTTGCAGCCCCCAGAACTCCCAGGCCCCAAACAAGAGAAGGGCCCTGCCCATCATGTCCTCTGGGGTCATGGAGGTGCAGGCTCCAGACACTGACTGGCAGACCACACTGATGGGGCAGCCTGCGGGTCAAGCAGGGTGGGATGGAAGAAGAGAGATTTCTTGTTTCTTGTATCCAGATGTGTGAGGCAGCCAAGAGATGTGGTTGGGATTGTGGCAAGGGCTTTGCTTATGCAGCAGGGGTGGGGGTTGGAGTTCCCATTTTTGGGTTGTTGTTCAGGAAATCCCGCTTGTGGGTAGGTTGGTTATTGTGAGCCACTCTGAGCTTTTCAAGAAGGGTGGGATGGAAGTCTGAAAATTAATAAATGGATGACCAGCCACTCACGGAGGCTGGTCAGCAATCAATAAAGGTGCATTTAAGGGATAAGCAGTAGCTTGGGACAGTGAAATAGCCTGGTTGGTAAAGCCGCTGTGTTGGGCTCAGACACATGTGAACAGCTGCTTCTTTAGAGAGCACTTACTGGGGGCTGAGACCCAGAGGACTCTCCTGGCAGAGCTTCAGGGCCCGGCATGTGGGTGCAGGGCCTTCGCTGGCACTTGTCCCAGTGACAATGGCTCTCACCTTTGCACAACAGAAAGCCTGGACGTGAAGCTCATTCCTCTCCCTGGCCCGGGCCTCCAAACCCATTTTCTCAAGACAGAAATGGCCTCATGTGCCATTCAGGGAGTGGGACTGGGCACTAGGGAGGGTTGGGCAATTTGTGGCCATGCTGGGCAGTGATTAGGGCATCAGGTCACAGGACCAGAGGCCGTGTGATGCTCATGCACTTGGGAGATCCCACCTGAGCCTTGGCCAGCACCAGGCACCCAGGGCTTGGGGCACCATTCACAAGGCAGGAAGCACAGCGATTCTCCCAGGGGGCAAGGACAGAGAGGGGAAGAGGGGCACTGAGGACCCACTGTCCAGGTTTCAGCAGCTCAGCCACTTCCTACTGTGTGAGCTGCCTCACACACTCCGGGACCCCCGACCAGGGTGCCATGGCAGGGTGCCGCAGGCGCCACTCCGTGTTAATGCTGTTAGGTGTGCAGATATGAGCCACAAGATAAACCGAAGGGGATCAGTCCGAAACCCAGTGTTGGAAACATCCTGAGTATTGTGGCCTTCCTGGGTTATTACAACAGAAGAATTGTTCTGCTCTTTTTCCAGTCTCAAACAAAGTAAGTAAAGCTCAGAGCTGGCATTTTCTGAGGAGTGCCTGGAGTCTAACGAGGGGTGGCTGGAGAGGTGCCTTGAGTGGAAGAAGTTGGAGAACCACTGCCCGGGCACAGGAGCGGGTCTGAGCAGAGCACAGGGCTCCAGCCCCAGAGAAAGTCCCCCCTGGGCTGTGCAGAGGCGGAAGGCCATGTCTCTCCCCAGCACAGACGCGCTCAGGGAACAGCCCCGCTGAGCCCCGGGATCCTGGGTCACAGGGAAGGAGGCGGCAGCAGCTCGTACCAGACTGCCGCTAACTCGGAGCCAGGAGCAGCCCCCGCACAGGTCCAGCCCCAGGGCACCGCAGACCCCGCCGAGGCGGCGTGTGGGGCAGGGCAGGGCAGGGCTGGTGCTCCTGTGAGCCACAGGCTCTCTCCGCTCGGGCTCGGGGCTGGCGCCGCGGAGCTCCGCCCCGGCGCCGCCGAGAGCAGGGAGGAAACGGGCTGCTGTGCTCCGGAAGGTGAACGTGCCGGTGCTGCGGCTCGCGGGGCCGGAGCCATGGCTGCGGAGGGCCCGGCGCGGAGCTTGCAGGAGGAGGTGACGTGCTCCGTGTGTCCGGACTGCGCTGCGGATCCGGGGACTCTGGGCTGCGGGAACAGCCGCTGCCAGGCCTGCACCGGGCAGCCCGGCGGGGAGCCGGAGCCACACGTCCTGTGCCCGCAGTGCCGGGCAGCGGCCCCGCAGAGACCCGTGCGGCCGAAGAGGCAGCTGGGGGAGGTGCTGGAGCCGGGGAAGCGGTCGG